TGGGGAGGTGGGTGTGCTGGCCACCAAGGCCCTCAGGGGGGGAAAGGGCATGAGGGAGTTGGGGCTCCTCACTCTTGGAGCCCGTCTGAACGGATCGGATGGCCTCTCTAGCTCCCAGAAGGGTCACTTCCACGCTTTCCCAGGAGTCCCTGCACCCGTTTAGCCCCAGCAAAGTGTCCCTTCGGACTGGACGTGGCCCCGGGGCCCAGGTCAGCAGAGCGCCCGAGGCAGGGCCGGACTCCAGGTCCCGGGCTTGCGGTTCCGCGGAGGGGGCGGGGCGCAGAGCTGTCGCCCACGTCCGGCGAGGCCGCCGGGGAGCGCGGAGGGCGCAGAGGGTCCCGGGTGCGGGCGGAGCTCCGGTGGCCTCCCCGCTGCGGGCCCGCCCGTCCCAGACTCACCTGTGCGCGCGGAGGGGCGGCCGGGCGGTGCTCGTGCGGCGGAGGTCGGTCCAGGCGCGGCCGTGTGTCCCGCGCTCCCCGCTTCCTGCGCCGTGGGCTCGGGCGGCCCGGAGCGCCCTGGGCACCTGCCGTGCCGGGGCCGCCTCACCTGGGCCACTGCGTGCACGTGACCAGCCTGGAGGCCGGCGCAGGGAATCCGGCCGGTCCGCCCTCTGGTACCGCCCACTCTCCCTCGGTCCGACCCCGCCTCCTTCCCGCGCCTCTCGCCGGGCTCCACGGTGCCTCTTCCAGGAAGCCTTCCGGGAGTCCCGGGCCTGCGGAAACCTGTTGACTGCCCCATCTCGGCTGCTCTGAAGAAGGCTGCCCGGGCCAGGAGTTCCCAAACAACTTTAACGATGAGGCCCAGCTCCTCCTCCACCCCCTCTCCGTTTTACCGAGCAATCTGAGGCCTGCCAGCCACACAGTCCCGGCCTGTTTTCTCTTGAGGTCAGGAATACAGGTGCGAAGTCCTTGGGGTTGTCCAGGAGAGGCTGCAGCAGCGACCCCCCCCCATGATGGCTTCCTGATGTGGGAGAGGCTGGGGTTTTCTCCTCTGCGCCCTAAGGTGGGCCAAACCCGAATCCCCGATGGTGAGCAGGGTAGATGGAAAGGGACAGGAGTGGTCCAGGGACCTTCACAGTGGGTGCAAATGCCCAGAGGTGGAGGGAGCATGGCCAGGGGGCAGCCTGAGGTGGGAGGGCAGAGACCCCAAAGTAGGGTGGGATGGGGACAGGGACTGGGGGTGCCCAACCTCCATCGAAGAGCTGCAGGAGTTTGTTGGGATTCCAGGAAAGGGTTCCCACCATCACCTGGAGCTGAAATTTGAGAGCAAGCGAGAGATTGCGGCAGGATCCAGGGGCCGTTGCTATCCTGCCTGTGTTTGGTGCTCAGGCTGAGCTCACCGCCTGAGACTGACTCAGTTTCCTGAGAGCTGGGGTTACAGGCATGCACCACCACCCCCAGCAGCTTGAAACATTTATTTCATGTGTATGTTTTACCTGCATGTAAGTGCACCCATGTTGTGCAATGCCCATGGTGCCCAGAAGAGGGCATCAGAACTGGAGTTACCCACAGTGTGGATCCTGGGAACTGAGCCAGTGCTCTTAACCGCTGAAAAATGTGGTCATCAGAGCAAACCCAGAACCCTCTAGGACAAGAGGAGAGGGGCACAGTGCTCAGCCCCTCTCTTGTGGAGACTCTGCCCCTGTTAACACAGCTGCCTCTTGCTGTGGTCTTAAGTTGCCCAGGCTTAGTGCACAGAACCCAGGGCTGTGTGTACGGCAGGGACACGGTGAGTGCTTGGTGACCCATGGGTATGACTTGTCCTAGGATACGGGCTGCTTCCTGATCTGCCGCCACCTTCTGTTTTTCAGGAAAAGCCTGTGGCCAAGGAATCCCCTTGAATACCCGTGGTGACCTCACACCATAGGCTCTTATACACAGCGTCTCCATGCAGTGACCAGGGCAGCATAGCCCAAGATCCTGCCAAGGCTGGGCACCATATTGCTGGGTGAGGTGATGCTGGAGGCTCTGGCTTGGTATTTTCATCATGAGGGGTACCTGGCATTCCTGCCCAGCCAGGGCCCATGCCCCCAGCTTCCAACCTCAGCCCTGAAGGTAGGTAGTTTGGTTGTGCCCCCACCCATTCCCCCATGTGATGTCACCTGGGCAGGGCACTGGCTGGCCACAGGGTCAGGGCCAGTGGGCATCAGTCACACTGAAGGGAGAGAAGGAGCCCAGAGGGACCTGTAGACTGAGGCCTTGGTGCTACCTGGGTGGCCAGTTCCTGTGTGTCTGGGGAGTTTGGAAAGGTGAGTGGCTGCTGCCCTCCTGAGGCCATTGTGGGTACTGTGCCTTACCAAGCCCAACCTTCATGAGGCTGAAGGGCGTCCTGGAACACCTTTGACCAATGGGTAAGGAAGGTCAAGGCCAAGTCTTGATACCCAAATGGAAGGCCTAGGCCAGGCAGGGAGGCCTCCCTTTTGCCCCAGCTTTCCAACAGTATCTTGTGTCTCAGCCTCTGCTCCTTTGCTGTCGAGTCTTCATCTGACCTGGTCACTCCAGGGTCAGCCCCCAAGCCAACTCCTTGGTGCCCGGTCCCCGCAATCAACATGAGTGTTCATCCTGGGAGACTTGGGGCCCCATCTCCCTGGCTCTGTGTGGGTTGGGATCTACTCACTTAGGTGGCTCTGAGCAAGTGGCTCACCCTCCCTTTGACTTGGTTATCCCAGCTGTAAAATGGGCTTTGCTGATGACACACAAGGTGGAGAGGAGTCCAGCTGGGATGATGGTGAGATGGAGCCAGCTCTGGGAGTTGCAAAGGACCAGCAAAGGGAGAAAGACCCCAGGGGGATCTTGGCCCCCTCTGTACCTCCATAGTAGAATCATAGGGCAGGGGATTGGGCAGGGACTGGGTTAGCACAGAGCTGAAGTCCATGTGGGTAGCCCAGGCCCTTCTTGGACTCTGGACTCTGGCCTGGCTGGACTTTTTGCCCAAGAGCCAGATGTTCCTTATCCATGATCCCAAGAAGCAGCCTCTACAGCCCCCAAATACTCCTGCTTCATAAAAGATCCCTTCTGTGTACAGAGCAGGGCTCCTCTAGAGCCACCTCACAAGGCAGGAAAGCAGCCCTTTGAGGGCCAGGTGAACCCACAGCCAATCAAGGCACCTCAATATTCTTGAAAGGAAGGCCTGCCTGGTGCAGAATTTCAGCAGTGGGAGGCTTACAACCCCAGTGCCCAGTGCAACAGCCGTACTGCAGAAGAAGCAGGAAGACAGGACTGAAAGCACAGGGAAAACCAGACAACAGGAACAGATCAGAAACAGCCCTGGTGATGGGACGGTGAGTGAGGCATTTGAGGCAACCAGTGGGGATGCACAGCTGACATGACTACGTAAGGAACACGGACACGCAAACTGCGATAAATAGGCAACTGACAAATACGCAACTATGAATGTTTGCTTATACGTGTCTTTGTGTGCACAAGCACGTGCGCCCAGGACGTAGGCCAGGGTTCTACTGAACCACACCCCGGCTCTGTCTAGGGACTTAAGGAATGACTGCAATCTAAAGTGTAGTTAATAGAGACAGGGTTGAACCGTCAGACAATATGTGCCCAGGAAGAAGTGAAAGGAGAAAACATTTTGAAAAAGCGTTAAAAATTTCAAATTAGGGTCTGGAGAGATGGCTCAGCGGTTAAGAGCACTGACTGCTCTTGCAGAGGACCCGGGTTCGATTCCCAGCACCCACATGGCAGCTACAAACTGTCCTTAACTCCAGTTCCAGGGGAATCTGAAGCCCTCTTCTGACCTCCACGGCACTGCACGACACGGGTGCACTCACATACATGCAGGCAATACACTCGTACACATAAAAATAATAAAATATTAAAACAAATTTTCAAACTATAGTTGTATTAATTCCTTTTTGATTGCTGTGACAAAATACTGAATAAAAGCAGCATAAGGAAGGGAGAACTTGTTTGGCCACAGTTTGGGGGTTCAGTCTGGCATGGTGGGGGGCCCTGGCAGCACGGCTGTTGCGTCACGCCCACAGTCAGGAGGCAGAGAGTGAGGAGTACTGGTACTCAGCTTGCATTCTCTTTCTGATTCAGTCCCAGTTTATGGGATGGAGCCGCCCACATTTAGGTGGGTGGGTTTCCCTATCTCTACTAAACGAATCAGGAAAATCCTTCTCAGACACTCCCCTAGGTTGGTTTTCATGGTGATTCTAAATTATATCTAGTTAACAATCAAGATCAAGCATCACAAGAAGGAAGGGTTTGTTTTGCCTCATGGTTTGAGGGTACAGTCCATCATGGTGGGAAGTCGTGATGGTGGTAGTGTGAGGCAGCTGGTCGCATCACATCCACAGTCAGGAAACAGAGAGAGATGAAGGGTTTTCGCCTTTCTGTTCGGTCCAGGACCACAGCCCATGGGATGGTACCACCCATATTCAGGGTGGGTTTTCCCATATTGGTTAACTGAATCTAGAAACTCCCTTACGGACACACCTAGAGGCTTGTGTCCGTGGTGATTCTAGATTCTGTCAAGTTGATAATTTTAACTATCACAATGGTAAAAAGTCACAGATTCGCAGATCAAAGAAACTCAGAGGAGCCGGTGTTCAAAGCAAAGCCTGCTAGGTAGATGGCTGAAAGCCAGGGGCAGAGAGAAGGTCTTCAGGGATAGAGACAAGATTAGAAACTCCATGCAGCATGTAGGATCAGCACCTCCACATCCAAAAGGAAACAGAGCTGTCAGTCAAGATGTCTGTCTCCAGTGAAAATATGCCTCAAAAATGGAAATATTTTAAGCCCAAAGCTGGGGATGTCTTTACCAGCACATTTACTCTACAGGAAACGTCAGAGAAATGGTTTTTCAGAGTAAAAGAAAATGACGCCTTATGTAATTTCCGTTCTGCACAAGTGGAGTCCCACTAGCGCTTGCAAATATGTGTGAAATATTAAGGGTCATTTTGTCTGTGTTTAAAATTTTTCTTTGAAGAATGTCATTTAAAACAAAACAATGATGCTAGACTCTGGAATTTATGAAACACATCAAAGTAAATTACAATAAAAGATCAAAAGCACAGAACTGGGGAAAGGGCAGCAGGTCCCAACCTAGCCAAGGAGCTACTGGCAACGATTACCGTGGGGTGAGGGACAGAAGATCTTCTTTAAGGGAGTGGCTTTAGACAGGCTGTCCAGACTCCAACGAATGAATTTGCACTGAGGGACATCTAGATAAAAATGCTTGACCAGAAAGGGCTTAACATATATGACAGAATACTTGACATCTGGTGGGGGGCGGGTTATGGGGGAGTAGGGAGGGGGAGGGGAGGGTCTAAATAAAAATGGGAAAAAAGTTCAAAAGGCAGAGAAGAGAGACACAGTTGTAAAGTTCATATATTTTGTACACATTGGCCTATCACAAAGATAGATAATAATAAAATTAAAAATACTGAAACACGTACTAGAACAGACTCTAAAAATTAAGACAAGTGGCAAATGGAATACTGAAGAGTGGTGGGTGCTGGAGAAATGACTCAGTGAAAAGCACTCGCTGCTCTTGCAGAGGACCTGAGTTAGGCCCTT